CACAATCCGACTTAACATATGATTCAAAAAATAATATTAAAAAATTAAAAAAAAAAACAAATAGGAAACTTACAAAAAAAGAAAGTTGAATCGACATCCCTTTGCCAAAACTACCAAAAGAAAAAAAAAAAAAAAAGAAAATTTGGAGGGAAGGCTTCCTTCGTTCAAAAGTTAGACTCTAGAAGACAACCTAGAGGAAGTTGAAGCTCTTCAAGCTCAAGTTCGTCTAGTTCCAGTCCAAGCCTAATTCTTGAATCGAACAAAGCTCATTCAAACCAGAGGTATGTTATTTATTTATTTATTTTTTTGTTCTTCTTCTTCCTGCGGCAGTTGGTAGTCCAAGCTGAAACAGGGGCTCCGCCCTATGTCTCTTCTTCTTCATACAATGCATGCATAAAAACAGGGGCTCCGCCCCTTTTATTTTTTTTCGATTTTTCTCAGTAAAACAGGGGCTTCACCCTTTTTTTTTATTTTTCTCAATAAAACAGGGGCCTGTTGTTGTTGTTCTTCTTCTTCAGTTTTCTCAATGAAACAAAATCTATTATCCATGAATGTTTTGTATTACCTGTATTTGAGGCATGGGGAGCTGAGGCCCGATTACCTGAATGAGCAAAAGCTGAGGTAGGGGGTGTTGATGGTGTCTGAGGAAGTGGAGCTGAATTACCAACTTCATTTTTCAACTGAACTAGAGCAGTTCGGACAGCAGCTAGAGTATCTAGAGGATTGCCTCTTGAGGCCATTGAAGCTACACTATCAGTGTTGATAGCCATATTGGCACTCCCCTTTTTGTTTTTGAGTTTTGTTGGAACTAGATGTGGATGCAACTTCCAACAATGTCTTTAGTATGTTTAGATTTCTTGCAATGCTCACATACTAGGTCCTTCTTAGTTTCCTTCTTCATATCCCTTTCTTTATCACCCCCAGATTTGGGCTTAACTGCTGCCAGGGCTGATTCGAAAGGTTGTTGTATCATAACTTTTCTCCTAGCCTCTTCATTGTGCACTAGGGAATAGGCCTGGGATAGAGTTACACTGTCTCTTGTCAACAACTGTTGTCTCACAATATCATATTCAGAATTTAGACCAGCCAGGAACTCAAACACTTTATTAGTTTCAACCTTCTTTCTGTAAGTTTGTGCATCCTTCTGACTCTCCCATTCAATTGTTTCAAGGTGGTCAATTTCATACCACAGGGATTTCAAGGTGGAAAAATAAATAGAGACCTATTTCTCTCCTTGCTTGAGATTTTTAACCTCACATTTCAGCTCATAAGCCCTAGCAACATTAAGGGGCTGAGAGTAGGTTTCTTTCACAACATCCCATATTTCCTTAGTTGTTTTTGCCCATGAGTAGTTTCGGTTGATGTGTGGCTACATAGAGTTGCACAGCCATGTCATCACCAAATAATTCTCTTGAATCCACTTAGCATAAATGGTATCCTCCTTAGTTGGTTCCTTCATATCCCCCAACAAATAGTTCAGTTTTCCTCTACCCCCAATGGCCATTATGGCTGATTGGGCCCATTCTAAGTAGTTTGATCCATCAAACTTAACAGTTGTAATCTAGAAAGTGTTTTCAGTCATGTTACCTGAACCAAAAACACCCTCCCCCTGGCTCTTAAACACTATTCTTGGTTAGGAGTTAATCAAAACCACATTCTAATTACTGTAACAATCAGCCTACTGGGTCTGAAACTAATAACAATAAATCTAGAAGCAGAAATCAGATTCAGCGGTACTAGGTCTTTAAATACAGAGAACAAAGAACAGAAATCTGATATCAGCCAAGCTTAAATCACAAAAGTCAAGTCTAACTCTTATTTGGACACAGTAACAGTCCTGGGTTTCAGGGTTTTCTCTTAAAACCCTAAATAAAAAAAGAGTATATATATAGCCATACCTCTCAAATTAAGCTATCCTTGTTGCCGTCCTCAAAAAAGGATGAAATCTTACCCAGAAGTTTCTGAAGAAGAACTGATCTTCATCCAAAAAAAAATCTTATGGAAATTCTGATCGTCACCTTCAGTCTTACTCCAAAAAACTGACCTTGATTCTGATCAACCTCAGAAAATTCTGAAAAAAAAACTGATCCTGAGAGAATCCTCTTTAAAAAACTTCAATCTTGATCAGAAATAAACTAATCGGCACCTCCAATCTTGATCAAAGACCTAATCTTGATCACCAATTCTTCTCTGATTCTTCCTGATTACAAGGAGCATCCTCCAATCCTTGGACAGTTGCTGAAGACTCCTTGTGACCTCCAAGAATCAGCCGAAGAAAAAAAACTTTTCTAAGCTTCCAGCCCTAATTAATTCTCATGTGGTCGGCTGAATTAATTCCACATGAGATTTCCTAAATCGAGTGCTCTGATACCAAGTAGTCGTATAAGACTACAATCAGCCTTGGGTTTCGAACAGAAAACAAAAGAAAAGGAAAAGATAAGAGGAGAGGAGAAAAGAAGTAGAGAGACGGAAAAGGAGAACTTGTAGAGAGGTTTGAGAAAAGAGAGAGTGGTTGGTGTGTTTAAACAGCCGCCCCCCTCTTAAATTTATATACATAGTATCATACTTGTAAAATGACTGAATTGCTTACATGGCAAGATAAGATAAGATAAAGCTGAAAAAAACTAGTCCTAATCTTATCATAAAGAACTAATCCTAATCATAACTTATTGCTGACATACAAACAGTGGGGACCACCTTAGTGGGGTCCACATTAGTGTTCTCTACAGGTATCTCTTGGGACTTTGGCTTCAGAAGAGGGTTGAGGGAAAATGAATGCAAGTCCCTAGTGCTTTTGATCTCAACACTTGAGAAGGTCTACTTAGACCAATCTATAGCTAATAGTAGAGTCTGGTCCCCAACTCTTGATGGTTTATTTTCTTGTGCCTCCTTTGGTTTGCTCACTCACTCCGATCCTTTGGGGGTGAACTTACCAGTGAGAGAAATCTGGTGTAAATCGATCCCTCCAAAAGTACAAGATTTCTATTGGGAAGTGTTCCTAGGGAAGGTAAACACTTGTGACATGCTACAGAAAAGAAAGCCAAACAAATGCCTCTCTCCTCATGTGTGTCCTTTGTATGGATTGTGGTGAAACCCTACCCCACTTACTTTTATCCTACTCTTTTGTTTCTGGTATTTGGAATTTTGTTTGTTCTCTCTTTGGATGTAGGTGGGCTCCCCCACAGGATGTGGTAAGTCTATTCAGCCCCTCCTTCCTGAGGCAACAGAGGAAAACAGCTGCTACAGTATGGACTATATGGGAGGAAAGAAACCTAAGACTTTTCTCTAGAAATAGTAAATCAAAGGAGGAAGTTATTGAAGTCATTAAAATAAGAACTGCACATTGAGTGATGACCATGGAGCTATTCAAAAATTTCTCCACAAATGAGATTCTAAGAAGTTGGACTGAAGTATCACAAACAGATGCACCCAAAGTAGTTTTTAGAGTGGAATGGAAGCCACCTGTACTGAACAAACTAAAACTAAACTTTGATGGGAGTTCTTTTAGTAACCCAGGAAGGGCAGGCGTAGAGGGTGTGATTAGAAACCATCTGGGTGTGGTGGTGGCACTCTTCTCAGTTCTCAGGACCAATAGGTATTGGTGACTCAATACAGGCTGAATATCTAGCTCTACTTCAAGGTCTGAAGATGGCTGAGCAGATTGGAACAACAAATTTAGAAATAGAAGGAGACTCACTACTGGTCATTTCTTAGGCTAAAAACATCACATCAGTACCTTGGAAGCTCAAATTTATCTTCAGTGAAATTGACATACTTGCAAGGAGGCTCAACTCTCAGTTTGGTTGGGTCAAACGGAATGCAAATGGGGTGGCGGATACCCTAGCAAAACAGAGGGAAAATAGATCTACCTTGTACTGGGCAGAACTGTAGCTGATTGTCTGTGGTTGCAGTCTGGTTAATGCATACCGCAACCTATAACTATTGTAACTGATTGCAACTTTGTCTCTGTTATTAATCAAAAAATTTTTGCTGATCAAAAAAAAAAAAAACATTATTGGAATTGGAAAAAAAATGTCTTTGTCTTCTTTGTAATTGTTTTAAGTTTTTTTGGGTTGTTAGGGTCTTTGTGTGTGTGGCAGGGGGTTGGTGTTGTGGATTTTGGGCGAGAAAAGAGTGGGGGAGACTCAATTTTTTTGTTTAAGTCTATGAGGAGGCTCAAAATTGTATCCCTAAGAGTTGTAATGAGGGTGTTCAGCTTTTCTTTTTTTCTCTTTGTGTTTGTATTCCCTTATCCTTTGCTTTGAATGAAGTTTCCTTTTTATTTATTTTGAAAAAAATGAAGGTTCCTTTGCATTTATCATATCACTCGACCACTTTCTGATATACAAGAAAGTTAGATCAGAAACTTACTCTAAGTGGTCCTCCCTCCCAAAGATATATGCATTCTTGAAATTAAATCATTTCAAAAAGATTGTTTCTAGTGATGATTCAAGTAGTGTATTCAGAGTTCCTTTTAATGTTTAGTGAGGTTTATAGGTTTGCAACCGTTCATCATTTTCAACATGCTTCCCATCCTACATGATCAAGAAAATAATATTTTTCTTAAACCTTGAATATTTGTATCTCACTCACCGTGTATAGGTTGGGGCACCACTGAATTGAGTCCCAACTAGAACATTACATATGCAAGAATAATCATAATCAATAATTTTTTAACTATCTAATTTGGGCATTACACATGGAGCATTGGAGAAGGAAAAGTTTGTCAATCATCCAAATATATGCAATAAAACCAAAGGTCATAATTTTCTGTACAGGTTGATTTTTGGTCCAACTGATGTGAAATGTAAGACCCATCTGTTGGCGGATGTGGATGCTCAAAACATGGGATAGATAGCAGGTTCTGGGGGCTCCAGACCCATACATTTTGTATTACCAAACCCAAGATTAATCCAAAATGTAAATCCATAGAATCAAAGTTAACAGGATCCATGCACATCACATGAAACATTCATAATCTGCCAGGATCATGAATTTACCGTAGATGAACTTTTTCACGAGCACCCACATCCATATCTGCATGATAGAAACCAGCTGAAATTCCTCTCTGACATAACTCCTCTGCAACCTACATTTCTTGGGAATATAAGAGAAGCCATAATTTTCTTCATTCAAAACGTGAGATACAAACTATAGTCATAAAAAGCACAACAAATAAAAAAACAAACAAATCTAAACCAACAAAAAAAATGCACGAGAAATATAAAACATGTATCTATGTATGTAAGTCAAACATGTAGTTTCCCTATTGCAGATGCTGCATGGATATTCTGGTCATCTTGATCAAAGTTTTACATGGATAAGGTGTGGGTTCATTACTAGAGTTCATGACCTAGCTCTCCAAAACCCAAATATAACAGGTAAAAGCCAATAAAATAAACAAACAAACAAAGACCTTTCTACTGAAAAAGCAGTAAAAAGGCTAAAACCTACAAGGCTACAACCCCCTTTCTAAATTAAAACCCATTAGAAAACTTCACCTCATAAACAACAATGAAAGCCAAAAATAAACCACCATATGTTAATTTCCCCTTGTCCATTTGTTCTATGTTGGTGCATTTGAAAAGACTGAAAGAACCAAAAAAAAATATCCCACATATGAAAATGATTATAGAAGCAATGCTGGAATACCTTTATACACTAATAACACCCCATATGACCATTAAGTATCATAACCAAAACTTTTTTTTTGGAGAAAGGCAAAGTAGATTGTATTGTAATACTGTAGAAACTTCTAACCCAGGGATCTAAGTGATAACTATAGAAGGAATGGGGAAGATTTGTAATAAACCTAACACAGACCTGTTCACATTCCTTTCTGGAGAAACAATAAACAATCCCAGATTCATTATTTGGATATGAACTACGTATAAAATCAGCAATTTCATCAACAACCACCTTCCCAACGGAAGACTTATCTCGTACCTGCAATGCAAGTAAGGTATTGTAGTTTTATATTCTATTTCAGCCACATAAATGTTTAGAATCAGAGACATAAATATAATTTCCAATATACCATATAAAATAGATTAGGCCTGTTCACTGTGCTGACAAATTTAATACATTTCGAAATATGTAGCATCTCCATCAGATCTGCTTGAACCTTCTTAGTAGCAGTTGCCTGAAAAGTAGAATAAATAATGTAGAGTTTGAACATATTTCATTGGAATAACAATAATTCAAGTCAAGAAAGTGAAACATACAGTCAAAGCGACCACTGGAACACTTGGAAACTGAGTCTTCAAAATACCAAGATTCTTGTAGTCAGGACGAAAATCATGGCCCCATTGACTACAGCAATGTGCCTCCTAACAAGTAATTTAAACAATCAAAAGTAAGCAATCAAGGACTTTCACTGGCATGTGTCTAAAAGAAAGTACCTGTAACAGTTAAAAGCATGAAATAGGAACACAGTAATGCCAAGTTACATATCAAAGCAGGCAATCTATACCAATGGCATGTCTGATAATTACAAAAATCCTCATACAAACTCAAAAAAAAAAAAACAATAGTTATACCTTTAACGTGATATATGATTAAAGTTTGTGCTTGTTATAACTATCAATGTTGGTCATGAGTCAAGGTCGCACCATATATTTTGATGTTTGCCTTAGCACAGCTTTTAATTGTCATCACCCATGACTAATAACATGTGTCATAATATAAGTTAATTCATCATATACACCATCCATGATAAAAGCTAAAATCTCCAATCCAATAGGAAATGTAGCTGCAGATGGTGCAGGCAAGAAAACTATCAAGATGTAACATGATAAAAAAATAAAATAAAATAATCAGGAGATACCACAAGCACATTAAAGTGGCTACCTATGGCATCATATTCAAGCCTTTGTTGTTCATATTATTTAGTAGGCAAAACATTCTATAGTAAGCTAGTAGATTGAGCAACTTGTGACCAATGACAATTTTGGAGTTGTTAGCACAGTTCGAAACAAAATCCAAGGAACATGAAGAAAACCATCTACTCACATCAATTGCAATAAGAGAGAGACGACCGCCATGATGGCATTTTTCAAGCTTTGACATGAACCTCTTGCTTTTTGATACCTTTTCAGGTGTAACATACAAAATCTTGAGCTCTCCTTCTCCTTTTTCAAGGGCCCTATATATAAATTTTTCATCTTCCTTACTTGTAGTTGATGTCAACATGTAAGCTGGGATGCCTAAAGCAGATAATCCCATTACCTGAATCAATAATTATGAGAAAAGTTCATTCATTTAATGCAGAATGTAGTAGATGATGCATAAGAACAAAATTAAATGCACCTGGTCCTGGATTAGGGAAAGCAAAGGACTGACTACAAGAGCAACTCCATCACGAAGTATGGCTGGTAATTGGTAACAGAGACTCTTGCCACCACCAGCAGCCATTATGACCAGAACATCTCTTCCACTCATGACTGCATTTATTATCTGACAGCAATGGAGATTTAATTCGGTAAGCACATTTACATGTAGTATGATGAGGAACAGCAGTTTGAGATATTTATCAGCAAAAATTAGAAGAAAGAATAACTTACATGTAATGGAATTTATGAATCAGAAAGCATGTAAGAACTTATTTACGTTGTTAGAAAAAACAATAATTAAAAGAAGAAAATAGCTAAGAATTATCAAAATCAGGTCAATGACCATAAGAAGAAACTTGTAGACAGCGTAGTAATGAAATTTAGATGGGAAATGTGACACTGAATATGTGAACCTAAAATCACATAGGAAATAATGATATGGAAGAACAATTAAAGAACTTCCTGATAGGGAACTAACCTCCCGCTGATTTGCACGATATGTAGATATGCCAAAAACATTAAACCTAATATCATCAGCCTCAGAATCCCACCCAAATGGCCCTGACCAGTTCTCTACAGTAACTGAAGCACCACCGTCAGCTGGGCTTCCAGATGCATTACATTCTTCTAATAGGATCTTCAGTTCAGATTGTCTTGCATACAACTTCTCTTGCCGATCAAGCAATATTTTTATCTGGTCTGGAGAAAAGGATATAAGGATAATGTCAGAAAAAATGACCATTTAACCTCCTCAAAATAAGATTTAGGTGTTTCATACCCTATTATGATACATACTCCATTGTCCATACAATGCTATCAGCAATAAAAAACATGTACTCTTAGAAAGGTGTAGGTAATCCAAAAAGTCAGATAATAAATACATGGATTAAATCATATTAAATCTCCAGTAGCTTTCAAAGTAGGCAGTACCTAAGAAGATCACAAACCATTTAATCAACAGAACTGATCCAGGAAAAACCATTTTAAACAACTCAGAAAAGATGAATTACCATATATCTAGTGGATGTTTGCTTGGAGGAATCCATTTATCGACATTGTTTCCTCAAGAATCAATGATTTTGAGGGGTTTGGAGAATCGCTGATTCATCCAAGAAAACATGTTTGGTAGAAATAACGCTGTTGAGGCAAATTGTCACAAAAAAAAAGAATAAATAAAAACATGCATGGTTTGAACATTTTTGGCATGGACATGTCACTACCATGTCAGAACTCAATTCAAGAATCACCCCCACCCCAATTTGCAAAGCTATCTCCCAAAGTTTTGGGCATCATCCATAATCATGGAAATCAGGATTAATCAATTCCTCTACTGATTTTTGAGGAACCAGTCTTACCAAATGGGAATTTTCATACAATTTGGGGAACCAGCTCATGTGGCAAATTTAAAAATCAGAATCGGCAAATCAATTCCTCCAACTAAACATCCCCCTACTTCTTCATCACTTGGCTACTGATCTTAAGCTGGCATATCTCCCATTTGGGAGATATTGATTGTGACATGTTTGTTTGGCAAAGAAAAAAAAAGTTACTGTTATTATTAAACAAGAAGGCTGATTGCGGTATGCTCTATTCACCATAGTAGAACAGTTTTTTTTTTTTTTCTTTCATTGTAGACCAAACCTTCCAAAATTCCAAATCTATGGATCAATTGTATTGTCTTTATTAAAAAAGAAGATTGGAGGCAATATAGTTAAAGGAACAATGCCAGTAAAGCATTAAACAAAAAAAAAACCTACATTCCCAGTTAATGGTAGGGCTACACTGTAAAATTCAGAGTTGAATGAATAGTGGAATGGTGTATCAGTTAAACTATACCAAAAACGAACTAAGCCTAACAAAGAATTAGGAAAACAGATGCGATTCCATCGAATTTATACGAAAACACAACGAATTTCAATTTCAATGTATCTAAAGGAGTGATTACTCGTATCTAACTAATTCTAAAGACCGTTTTGGGAGGTGAGTTTAGAAACAGGACCTTGAACTTCTTGAAGCTCCGTCTCCACATTTAGCAGCTCCTCTAAGATATCATCTTCCATCCTCTGGTTCTGGTGGCAGCCGCTAAACCTAGCGGCAACAGAAAAAGCGCGTCGTTTTCAAAACCAAACGGGACAATCGATTCTCAGTTCAGTATTTCTTTTTCTTTTTTTTTTTTTTTCGGTTTTTTGCTAGGAGTTCAGTACTTCAGTTGTACTGTTGTAGACTTGTAGTTCTAAGGTAACGAGGGATGTCACGTGGGAAAAACGTGAGCATGTAAGAAAGTAAAATTCCGGTCTTGGACACTTGGATTGCGTTTGGACAAACCCTCAATTTTAGGTCCGTTTTTGGGCTTGAAAGTGTTTTTTACTTTTAATTATGTTTTTAAAAGAAACATTTTGCCAAATGCCTAAAGCACTTTTGTCACATTCCACAGCCCAAAGCTCAAAAGCAGAATTTTAGTTAAACATAGCCTAATTGTCAAAAAAATAAAATAAAATGCTTAGAAGAAAATAGTTGCCAAAATGATAAACCCTAATTCAGGGAGTAAATATTATTTTTGTAAAAAAACTTGGCTCATTTAGGATTGAATAAAAGCTGGGAATATTTTTTCAAGCTAACATGTTCATAAGTAAAATCTCTTGAAGTAGGTTGCAAAAGGATCGAAACAAATTGGATATAAATAGATATAAGTTTGATTCATTTATATTCAAACTCAAATCTTATCCATTGAATTCATATCAAGTTTGAATCAAATTTGGATTGCAATTTGATATTAAATATTATAAATAAATTAAATTAAAAAGTGATCAAAATATTATATATTATTTATAAATTATAAAATGAATTAAAAATGATTGATATTGTATTTGATGAACAAACTGAATTGAAAATTAATTATTTGAAACTTAAGCTTATGACAATTTAGCTAGGAAAAATACAACATTCAAACCAGCTTTGCTATTATGAGTATATATTTATCGAGGGTTCGAAGGTATATATATATATATATATCATGTCTTTCTGATAGCATAGCATAATAGGGGCATATCCATATTTGATCCAATTATAAATGAATTAAATTCAAACTTAGGAGAAATGGATACTGGTTGTAGCCCTACTCGAAAGGATGCAAACGTCCTCCTTGGAATGAGTAGACATAAGCTCTATCTTTTTATTTGGTTTTGTGCATGTTAATAACAAGCAATAGATTGAGTGTAAACAAAATAATACTTGATAGAAAATAATTCATTTTCAACCATGGTAAATATTTTTTAAGCTTTTCTAGTGTAAGGTCATGTGTCATAATGCACCTATGAAGGCCGGACCGTCGGACTGTCAAAACCAGGAACTGGTGGATTCTCTCCCCAGTTGATTAGAAATAAAGGAAGGAGTGGAGCTTTGTGATTAAATGCTTACAACTAAGTGGCTTTTCTTCACACTTCTGTGAACTTATTTCTCCGTGTATGGCTTTATCATTCATGCAATTGATGTTGAACGGTGTTCCATGCTTCTCGAACCACCCACTTAGCTGAGCTTCAAGGATAAAGGATTGCCTTGATACCTTTAGTGGGTGGTCAAGTCAATGAGTTAATATCTAAAAATCTTCCATCTTCTTTAGTCGTAACATTCATAGGCATTGCAGAAGAATTCTTCCCTCAATTATGGGAGTGAAGATTGGCCTAAGCCGGCGGTGTTTTTATCTAAGGCAGCGGTCTTCAGTCCCCCCCCTAAACCTCTGCCAGCTTAGGTCAAGACCGTTGGCTTAGACATAAAAGATCACCGCCCTTGAAGGCCGGTCTGAAACGGTTCAATTAACTCTAAAGCGGTGGTACAATTAATAAAAGTGGCGGTTTTGACCACCGTCTTAGATCATATTTGACCACCACCTTAGGTCAATTAAAATTCTACCTACCCTTTTAGGTGGTGGTCTGAACCACCGGCTTAGGTTCTATTTGACTGCCGCCTTATGCTAGTGAAAACACTCTAATTGCCTTCTTAGGCAGTGGTCTGAGCTGCCGGCTTAGATCCTATTTAACCGCCGTCTTTGATAATTTTTTTTTTTATTTTTTATACTAGTTTAATTCCATGACAAATCTCAATTTAATACTAGTTTAATACAAATCTCATGACAATTGATATTGTGATACATAAAAAATAAATAAATAAATAATACAATTAAAACAAAAATCTATTAGTTGAATTATTTATTATTATAATATCCAAAACAAATTGTTTAAATACAATACCCAATTGATGTATAAAAGTACAAGGAATTAAAAAAAAAATCAATTTCCAAGATAATGTAGCATGTCTTCCAATGCAAATCCATTTAACATAATGCTTGAACCTGCAAATTGTACCATATAAATTGTTAGGGAATGGATTATGTTTACCAGTAAAAAATTGGTCAATGCTCAAAATACAAAATCAAGTAAAATGCTTAAAAGAATATTGTTTTCTCACTTTGTAAGGGCTGACTTTGGCCAACTTGGATGTTTGACACTTGAGCTGCAAAAGAATGTCGAGATCAAAATTTTGCAACTAATAAACAATTTAAAAATTGAATTGCATGAATAGAATGGGACATGCTAATGAATTGAGTGTTAAATCATCCTTGAAAAAATGACTAGAGCATTCCTAAGCATAAAAATTTCTATTATCTATGTCTTTCCAAGTGTCAGTACAGATAGGGGATGCACTAGGAGTATTACAAGGGTTGAAGTTGGCCAAGAGAACCAAATTAACCAATATCATCATTTAATTGGTGGTGGAGTGGGTTTGTAATGAAGATGTCCTTGGTAGTACAGACACATCATGAGGGAGATTCCCGAGCTAAAAAGGGACAGGTTTGTTGTTGTTCAGTGGACTTATAGAACTGCAATGGCCTGGCAGATGGTTAGCAAGGCAAGAGTTGAAAGAAAGAGATAATTTGGTTCTGGGGGAATGGTTATGTAACTCATTCTCTGAGCCATTACGCAACTCATTCAAAGGGGTCCAGCAAATTGGTTACCCAATTTAAAGAAACTCCACTGCATTAGAACCAGGCCCTTAGACCAAGCCCTTTCAAATTTTAACATATGCCTAACCCAGGCTTACCCAAGTTGCACCCCTTAGGCATTCAGTTCTATGCCATTCCTCCACCCACATTCAGTTCAATCCATTAACCTCCATTTCTATTCTCCAAACTGCCATTCCACAAGCTTCCTTCATTCTGTATATCTTTTAATAACATATACACATGCGGAGATTGTATACAAATTTTATATACACTAATAATAGACTCCAACAGCTACTACTAACACACTAAGCAAAGTTTGAATGGTGAAAACAGTGGAAATAGATTCCAACAGCTACTACTACGTTAACTCACTATTATAAATTAGAAAAATATAATGCACCCAAAATTAAATAATACATTATACATGTGAATGGTGAAAACAGTGGAAACTAACATAAGTATTATTAATTAATTCTTTATAAATCTATAATTTATAAGAAAAGAATATAAAATTCATATATCAATAATTAATCACATTTATTTTTTACACAATGTTATGAGAATTGGCATATAATTTTTTATTATATTTAATTTACTTAAGTTTCAAAATATATAAATTAATTCAAAAAATAACTGTATCTACATGCATTATACATATGTTAGATAGTTTTAAGTCTTTTAACCTTGCCGTAACAGTAGGTATTGTCATTTGATACAATGCCATGGACAACAGTGTAATTTCAGTATCGACACACGAAAAATTCAATTAACGACTTAACTACTAACCGATAATCTCCCCGCGCTTCTACCATTTCTTCTTTCTCTCTTTCTTGATTTCTTGTCTCCAGAATTTTGCATCCGATCTGTTGGGCTCCGTGCAACTGAAACCACAGAGAGAGAGAGAGAGAGGACCAGAGGCCTGGAATCCATGGCAAGAGCTGAAGAAAAGAAAAAAGATGACATCCGAGTGTACATGATCTCCTGCTTGTTCTTTATTTGTATTACAGCTGGTGGAGCTTTACTGTCGATGTACGTAACCTTGCCGGAAACAGAACCGACGACATGGTATCCCATTGCAGGACTTACACTTGTGGCCATTCCATGGGTGTTTTGGATCCTTATATTCCTTTATACATGCGTCAAGGCCGCTATCATACTACGCAACCCAAGCCAGGGTGCCAACAGAGGAAAAGGTACGTCGGCAACCGCAGCTGCGGCCAAGACCACTTTCGAGTCCTCCTCCGTGGATTCTACTGGTGGTGGAGGTGGTGATCAAGGGCATGCCCACGTTGGAGCTGCCATTGCGATTGGTGAAGAAGATTCTCCCGGTGATGGAGAGAATGAAGCTGCACAGACCCATCAAGCCCCAACCCACGATGAGGAAGTAGGGTCTCATGGCACCTCAGAAAGTAAAGCAAACGATAGAGAAGGCTCTGCTGCTCGTTCAAATGACTCTGAATCGCCATTTGCATTGTCGATGTCGTCCTAAAGATGTTCGTTCATATACTTCAAAGGCAAATTATATATGTTCCAGGGTATCAATGTAAGCCGGCCTACCTTTGATCGATCTGTTTGCATGTGTAATCTTCGTAGCATTGTCATCTTGTGGGCTTTGCTTTGGGTTCCATTTTCATCCAGGATTCAGACCATGTGCTAGATAAATGGCCTTTTGATTGCCTGTGATCGCCACCCAGATCGATCTTCCGCCGGAAAATTCTTCTTCAGAAGGAATAGTGAAGGGGAGGCAGCTTCCGATTATTCCATTCGCGGCCGGCTACACCCCGAGTGAGAAATTGAGAATTGAGAAATGTAGCTTTTCGTAATATTAACGAGAAAGTAAAAGATGCTTGTTCCATTCGAAATATGTTGCGATTTTGTGAATTGAATGCCAAAAACATAGAGATAATAGTTCTGCAACATCTTAACTGACTTCGTTAATCCATCAAAACCATTCATTTTTGTCCTTCAAGTTACATTTTCTTTTCTCTTTGGAGATGATCAGGAGTTGCAGATGGATAATAACAATAACGTGAGTGTAATTTCTATTGATCAAAGATTGTTATATATGATGTTTTTCTGGCTGTTCATTCAATTAATCCCCTAGCTATATACGAGCTGTCTATCTTTTCCTTAATTTGGAAATTATAACCTTTAAATGAGCTACCTACCATCAGCTGCTTGGATGCTTCATGCTTTTCTGGTCTTGCAGTTGATTGGCATTGTATAAACTGTTGGAGTGGTTGGCATGCACCCAACAGTTGTTTTGCAGATGATATAATTTCAGTTTTGAGTCTAATATGGAAGAGTTTAAAGAAGGATTGTACGTGTGGAGGGGAAGAATGAAAGATGTTTGATGGGAAATTTGATTTGAACTTGGTCACCTCCTTGGCACTAGGATAAAAGTATCCATTGATTTTTGGCTCCCATCAATCAAATCCCAACCAGTCAAAGGACTGAATGGAGTAGCAGTCAGGTGCTGAACATCAAATTTTATTTTGCAGGTGAACAAAAGAAGATAGACAAGAAGAGAAGTTTTTGCGCCGACGGTTCAAACATCCTTATTGGTATGTTAAGTTTCTTTGATAAAAAAAAATGAGGACCGACTTAGTTAATATTTGGTCTAATTTGGATTTTTTTTGAAGTTGTCTTGGACTAGTCTGCCCCCTTTTTTTTTATAATTTCTTATGGAGCCATCTCCTAATCTAATTACAAGATAATCATAATCCAAATCAGATATGGACTCTATTAAGGAACAAACCTTATCCTTTTAAGAGGATGTACGTTCCATACCCATTTCCAAACCCAGGTTCAACCCAGAGTAAGTTGTCATATGAGGGCTTACTTAATCTTATTAATTATGGGCCTTATAAAGCTCACGACCCAAGGGTGTTGCATGGCCAATTTAGGCCTGATTTGTATGGCGTGAGACCCCACAATGACTTCACATAATTTCACATGGGTTCAGCCCAACCTCTGTGATTAATCAACCCTTAATGGCCTCTTACACTTAACCTCTTGGCCCGTAATGATTACAACACTGCCTGACAGGGAATGACCTCTCCCATGGCTGCAAGGTACAATGTCACAGTCTCTGTTCAGATGGATCCTGAGAATTAAAACATTTTTCATAAAACATTAATATATATATATATATATATATATATATGTATCATATAAATATATTTTACAAAACCAAATCTCAAACACATTTTGAATTCACTATCGGCAATTTAGGTTTCCATCAGAGAGAGCGTAAGCCCTATCATTCATTTTGTTCAACAAAGGGGCCGATCCTATCACTATGATCATCCACTCAAATGAATTCTCAAACTGTCCCAACATACTCAGGTTTTGACCTTCAATGGATTTCACTGATTGGCATATCAAAGACAACCCTTTCCAACACCTAGTGCAGTACCATAATCAAGTCTATGGGTTATGTGTAACTTTCAAGTTTTGCCCATCAATCTCCAAGGTCGATGGCATAACTGGAAAATTGTTTGGGTTTAGTGTTTCAACCAAATATACATTGCATGTGCTTTGGGTTTAACCCTAGCAGCTGAGACAAGCTACCCCAACATCTTTGGCAACACATTAATGTCAACCTTGGCAAGATAAACTCCCTAAGTCTATCCAATAACTGAGAACATTCTAAAATAACATGAGTCTCATCAGTGTCCACTTTAAGGGGTAATTTCATAAAAGCATATCAATATCAACATGAAACAATAATGTACTTTTATTCATTTACAATAAATGTATATGCACATCAATCTGATTGGAGATAAGGGTATACACTGTCTAACACAACCTCTTGCCATTATGTGGCGGGGATGTCGTTCCCGCGGTGCCCGTCGGGGGCTTGTTCTGGCCCCGATTGTCTGTGATTGGTCGGGTCTTTTGTTTGATGGTTGTCGAGCCTTAACCATTATAGGTTAGTCAGGTCTTTAACGAAGTTGCCATCGTGTTGTGACCGTTGGTCAACGCGGAGTTCGGTCAAACTATGTGGGGGTGTTTGGTCATTTATGCTTGAAGAAAATTATTTATTTATTGAGTTTGTACAACCCAATCACCGTTAGATCTCAATACCGGTCGTCATAAGTACATCTTAGTCCTGGCATTCCAACTCTTTGGAGTAGGTCTTCCACACCTAGTTTCCCCTTTTAAGGGTCGTCCTGCCCAAGATGATGGCGATGACACTGATTAGGGGAGCTTGGGTTGGAGGGCTCGTTGGTGCCGTGCAACTCTTCTCTAGGTTTATGCTCTTTGATATCGACGAACCCATGGAGGTATCCACGTCAGACAAGGTCTTCCAGGTGGTGGTGAAGGTCATGGCAGCTTTCGGTGTCGTGGTCGTGGTGAAGGTGGTGGTGACGAAACTGCGATCGTGGATCTACATCAATATTTTGGCCCGCGGTGCATTCAAGGAAGTAAAGTTCCTGTATGTCGACAGTGGGCTCCTCGGTTTGTAGTCAGGTTGGTGATCCTATCTCTTGCTCTCTGTCTGATCTACACTCATTATGGTCCTTCCGCTTCCAATCATGTTGGTCCTCTTCATTCCTACATAGCGCTTGGACTTCCTTGGCGTTCATATACTTTTGTGCATGCTTCATGAGCACGATCAGGTTGGGCAGTGTGTTTTTTTGCAACAAGAAGCTGAACATTAAGGAGTGCAACCCACCCATGATGGTTGTTATAGCTACCGATTAGTCTAGAGCTCAAACTTGAAGGGCCTCAATATTGAACCTTGCCAAGTATTCCCTCAAGGTTTCTCCTTTCCTCTGTCGTACTTGCATGAGGTTGGCTGACGTCTTCCAGTGCCTTTGGCTAGCGGTGAACTATGCCAGGAACTATGTCTCCAACTGCTTCTAGGAGGATATGGACCGTGACGGAAGGGAGACGTACCAGGTTCTGGTGACTTCATGGAGGGTGACGATGAAGGCCTTGCACATGAGAACCTCAAAGGAGCCATGCAGCACCATTATCGCCTTGAACCCCTCAATGTGATCGTTGGGGTCTTAGGCTCTATTGTACTTCTCGAACTGAGGGGGTCATCAGGCAGTTGAGGGAAGCTCGTCAACAATCTCCTAGACGAAGACATGTTCCTCTAGGAGCTAGTAGTGGTACTGCTCTGAGGGTCGGGCTGTTAGAGAAGCTGCACTTATATCCGCTTGGCTGCATTCCAGTTCAGCCAAGCACTCTCTTAGTTCTCTAATTTTGGCATCTCTGTCAGTTGGGACAATGTTTGCGGACTTTTCCCCTTTTGGGATTGTAGGTCGGTCTTAGACTGAGCTGGATTTGACTATCGAGATCAACAGCTACAATAGACATTAGCCGAGCATTTCTTTCATCGGTACCCAAGCGGCGGAGTGATGGAATCTACTATGGGCATTGTGCGTGCGAGGCCGGGATAGGGAGTTGGATCTTCTGGATGGTTGTAGTTATTTGCGATCAAATTGGGCCTTGTACCTGTTTGTGTAGTGCCTTTTGGAGTCGTTAGTACAAGGATCAACCGTAGTAGGAGCCTGCGCGGCAGGGCGAGTGGCTTGGGGGGTGTGCGCCAGTTGTCCCAGTGTCTCCATCATGGTGAGAATATGGTCAACTTTCTACTGCATGGCGAGGAACTATGCGAGGTCAACCGATGTTTGATACTAGGGCTCTCGAGGCGGAGAGCTACAAAGTGAGTGAGATCCCCGAGATGGGGAATGGGCTCCAGAGTGGTCGGATGTGTTCTTAGGCATGGTTGCTTTTAGTGCATGGAAAGGGGTTTGTGAAATGACTTTTTGTATGTTTCCCATAGACAGCGCTAATCTGATGATGTCCGACCCGAGGTGTTCCGAACCGAAGACATGATCAGATAGTCTTACCAACTGGATGAGGCCGAGGTGGAAGGACGAAGTTGTGCAACGAGATCTACAACTAGGAGAAAGGTTAGAGGCCCGAGGAGTTGTTCCTCGGGTAGGTACTTCAATGCTCAAGTCAGTATGGAAGAGAAGGATGTGGCCAGGATGAGCAAGTTGAGATAGTATTGGTCCAAGCCGAAAAGATAGTGCAGAGAAGTATTCAAAGAGTGCGGTTCCAAAAAGTCCCTTACTTCAAGTGGGAAATACCTACTTATAGTTGGGTGTCCATGTCCCAAACGGATAGGGCTTCTGAGGTTGTCGAGATGAGGGCGTCTTCTGAGGTCTTCGGAAGGTTCACTCTTTGCCGGCAGAGTCCGCTTCCTTGTCCATGCGGGAAACTCTTTCTTAGTCATCCTCTTCCATTACACGTGGCATTAACGTGGTTTATAATGGGGGCAGCCACGAAGATCATCATGTGGCATCCTTGGCCAGCTCAACCATCACCCAAACAGGAGAAGGAAGGAAAGTATATTAAGCATGAATGAACTTTCTATAACAAAGTATAAAAGAGGATATTTATATCTCAATTTGTGGATAATTACCAATTTCTAATAACCTACATTTGTATTTTACTTCCCTTTTGATC